TACTCAAGTATAGACTGCAAACCAAAATGTATCTGTGTTATGACATTAATTGCAAATAGCAAGTATGGTGCTAAAGTCTATGCCAGTGGAATTAGATGAGTGCTATGCACTTAATTTTAAAATAAAACTAGTTTTCAGTAAAATGGCTTTGGTATTTTTGTTTTAAATACAAACTTGTGTATTTGCAGCTCTACTGAAGCATGCCATCATGTAATTCAGACTTGGAATCATGATTATGTTTACTAAGAGCCATCAAGATATAGAATATAACAATTAGTGTCATGAAACATCTGTTCATTATGTGTTCCATACTGAGCATTAAAGCCCACAAAAGTATATTGGACACCATTGTTGCCTTTTGAGCTTAAAATCAGTTGTTAGTATTTTAGCAACTACAGATTCTAATTTATTCAACAATCATGCAAACTTCAGAAAATCTGAAGTTTGATCTCAAAAGTAGGGACACATAATGGTTAATGCTGTGAGAAGGAACATAGGGTCTACAGTGAGTGAGAATGGTCTGTTCACCTGAGTATAATTATTTGCTACTTAATTCAACTCAAAGCGTAGCAGTTGGAATTTGAGTAAAATTTAACAGGTTTATACAAGTGGGTTAGGAATTTACATTGCCTTTTCTAAAAGCATTTTTGAAATTAGTCTCAAAAGTATTGTCACTTGTTCTGGCACACTGCCAGGGTTTAGCAGCCCCCAAGAGTTAATATACGATGTTCCTTAGGGCTAACTTTAAGAAAAAGAACAAGCATTCCAAACCAGGCCAGGTAGCTTTGACTTGAGGTGATCTGAGCCCCATGTGACAAGTTTATGACCAATAACTGCCTCTCAGGCACATGGTAAAAAGCCTCCCTAGCCTCAAGCAGCTTACATCTAGTTTGATAAATACGAATGGCACACTCGAAGTGATTAGGCTAGTATAGGCCAGGCTTAGTGGCTCACACCTGCAATCCCAGCACTTAGGGTGGCTGAAGCTGGCAGATCTCTTGAGGCCAGGAGTCTGAAGCCAGCCTGGGCAACATGGTGAAACCCTGTCTCTACTAAAAATACAAAAATTAGCTGGGCATGGTGGCATGTGCCTGTAGTCCCAGCTACTCAGGCGGCTGAGACACAAGAATCACTTGAACTCGGGAGATGAAGGCTGCAGTGAGCTAATATCACAGCACTGCACTGCAGCCTAGGCAACAGAGCTAGACTCTGCCACAAAATTAGACTGCTGTAGTCTGAAATTTGGTTTAATATCACATTGGCTTAGAAATCACTCGACATTCATTTTTCACTCCCTTGGATTTAAAGTAACAGCATAAAGACCAGGCTCAGGCGTCATATGGGAAGGACACCTGCTATCCTATCCTTGCCTAACCACCACTCTTGTCTTTCCTCCTGTAACACCCTCTGCCTCCCAGGTAAGCATCACCATCCTGAACTGAAGAGTTCTCAAGTCTGTGAAGTCTTGACATGGTATGCAATTTATATGTAAATGATTTCCCCGGTTCTAAAAGTTTTGTCAGTTCCTCAAAGGGACCTGTAATTAAAAATGGTAAGAGTCACTGTCTTCTATCCATTTACTTGTTAGTTTCTCCCTACTAGAACATTGTGTTAGGCCATTCTCACATTCTATAAAGAAATACCTGAGACTGGGTAATGTATAAAGAAAAGAGGTTTACGCATGTTCTCACTCATAGGCGGGTGTTGAACAATGAGAACACATGGACACAGGGAGTCCTTGGGACTACACACTTGGAACTGTTGGGGGGAAATAGGGGAGGGACAGCAGGGAGTGGGGAGTTGGGGAGAGATAGCATGGGGAGAAGTGCCAGATATAGGTGAAGGGGAGGAAGGCAGCAAATCACACTGCCATGTGTGTACCTATGCAACAATCTTGCATGTTCTTCACATGTACCCCAAAACCTAAAATGCAATAAAAAAAAAAAAAGAGGTTTAATTGGCTCATGCTTCTGTAGGCTGTACAGGGAGCATGGAACCAGCATCTGCTTGGCTTCTGAGAGGCCTCAAACTTTTATTCATAGCAGAAGGGTAAAGAGGAGCAGGAATCTCACATGGTGGGAGCAAGTGGGGGTAGGCAGAGGTGCCACCCACTTTAACAACCAGATCTCACGTGAAGTGAACTTAATATCGGGAAGACAGCACCAAGCCATGAGGGGTCTGCCCCCATGACACAAACCCCTCCCACTAGGCCCCACCTCCAACACTGGGGATTACATTTCAACATGGGATTTGGGTGGAGATAAATATCCAAACTATGTCAAACATGTCTTCCTTCTGTCTGCCAGGATAGAGTACAGTGTCATCATTACAGCTAACTGTAGCCCCAACCTCCTGGGCTCAAATAGTTCTCCCACTTCAGCCCCCTGAGTAGCTAGGATCATAAGCACACACCACCACATGCCTGGCTTTTAGGATTTTTTGTAGAGGTGGGGATTTGCCATGTTACTCAGGCTGTCCTTTTTTTCTTAAAATAAGCTTTTTAGAATAGCTTAGATGTCCAGAATTATTACTAAGATAGTACAGAGAGTACTTCATATATCCCACAACCAGTCTCCCCTCTTATTAACATTGGGATGGTACATTTGTCACAATGAACCCATACTGATGTATTATTACTAACAGAAATCCATGGTTTATTCAGATTTCCTTAATTTTTCCCTAATATCCTTTTTCTCTCCCAGATTTCTATGCAGGATATCACATTACCTTTAGCACTCAGGTCTTAGGCAACTCTGGGTTGTGACAGTTACTCAGACTTTGTGATGACCTTAAAAGTTCTGAAGACCCTTGGTTAGGTATTTCACAGAATGAACATATGTTTCTTGAGAACAGGGATTTTGTTTTATTCATCTTATGCCCCTGTGTGTGATGGGGATTTGTGTGATATGTATGATAGCATATCATAGGCTCTTGGGACTTAGGTAACAAAAAATTGGCCAGGCACAGTGGCTCACATAATCCCAGCACTTCTGGAAGCCAAGGTGGGTGGATTACTTGAGCTCAGGAGTTCAAGACCAGCCTGGCCAACATGGCAAAACCCTGTCTCTACAAAAAATACAAAAATTAGCTGGGTGTGGTAGTGTGTGCCTGTAGTCCCAGCTACTTGTGGGGCTGAAGCAGGATAATTGCTTGAGCCCAGGAGGTCGAAGCTGCAGTGAGCCGTGTTTGTGCCACAATACTCCAGCCTAGGTGACAAAGTGAGACCCTGTCTCACCACCGCCACCACCAACAATAACAAAAACAATAAATGCAGTCCAGAAGTAGGCAGTGACTGATAAACAAATGCTGCCTTGGGTTGATTTAAAAAGTAGAGAACTCTAATCATAGGAAGGCACAGTCCCACCAGATTCAGCACTGGTTAGATCGTATCTACAAAGATCGTGTGGACTGAATTTTAAGTGGAATGGTGACAAATCCAAGTTTGGCCACAAGCTGGTGATGGGTCCAGGAATCATGTTATGTGAGTAACAACTGAAGGAGCTGGTGGTGTTTTCATCTGGGAAAACTTAAGGGAAGGTAAAATGCCTGTCTTCCCAGATGTGAGAAGTCACATTACTCCAAAGGGCAGAATTAAGTCAGTGGTCAAAAGTTTCTCACATTTCAATGAATAAGCCAGTATGTTACAAACACTGCAGTGCTGCTTTGAGAGTCTCTGAGTTCCTAGTTAACAGAGGCCCCTGACATAGACCAGAAACGGGATGGAAGTAATCCTTGAACTTGGGTGTAAATCAGACTGGATGACTTTTAAGACATCTTCCTGTTCTCAAGAGCTTCTGACCCTCTAAAGAGTTTCTGGAGAGTTTCTAAAGGCTTTATGGATCTGGGACTTGGGCTGGGTATAGAAAGAAGGGAAAAGCTTCAACTAGTCTACAGCAGTCTGTAGGAAGGGGTCATCACCCCTAGTGTTGGCAAAAAGCAGACTGCACTAGCCTGGCTGAGGCCCTTCCCTTCTTGTAGTCTCAGCTCAACTGTTGGACAGTGAGGGCAGACTCATTGAGCAGTTTTGGAGGAAGTAAGATTGAGTGAGTAGAATGAGGTTGGGTTATGGAGTTTTGAAAGCCAGAAGAGAAGGCAGACTTTGTGGGGTCAGAGATATCACTGAGGATTTGTGATGTGATACTAGCGATTTAGGAAGAATGATTTTAGAAAGATTGGTTTTAGAAAGAATGATTTTAGAAATTGGTGATTTTAGGAAGAATGATCTGACAGTATCAGGGTAGGTTAGTGAGAGGAGATGGGAGTCAGAAAGCTTTCTGCAATACTGACAAGTTGAGTAAAAGTGGTACATGAATATTTAATGGTTTAAAGGTAAACCCTAAGAAAGATAACAGAATTGAGAGAATAAATGAAAGGAAATATACCAATTCTGTTATTACTTATAAAAGTGAATCACATATACTGAGATAATGGCTAAATAGAAAACAGGGTATTATACAATCGGTATTACAAAGGTTAAGTATGGGGGGAAAAAACACTAAGCTAATTATTAAAAAAAAAAAAAAAAA